ATATATTATATATTATATATATATATATATATATATATATATTAATATATTTTCATTGAAAATAATGAAGATGATTTGATTAAAGGGCATTATTCAAATTTTTTTAAACTTTTTCTTGTTATAGGACTCGACTTCCTGGCAGACGGCGGTGCCGACTTCGAGCACGCGATCACCGTGACAGGTAAGAATATCGAGAAGAAACGAAAAATCTGATGACACAATTTCGAGTTTTCGAATTTCCATGTGTCCATTCTGCAATTAATTCTGCAAGTTTAGTCTCAGTTTCAGAGTTTCAGAGAAAGATCACATAACGATTTGCATGCTCGGATTATTGAGAAAATCTAGATACAGATCAGATTTCTCCTAGATCATTCACGATTATCATCGATTAATAATTCGTGAGTCTCATTGATGTCAATGTCCATTAGGTTTTGGAAGATTTCACTACACGCTGCTGACCATCTGCGGCCTGATCTACATGGACACAGCGATCGGCGTGACGATACTTTCGTTTGTACTTCCAGCGGCACAATGCGACTTGGAGATGGACTCCACTGCGAAAGGTTGGCTGACCGCCTCTCCAATGTTAGGTCGGTATTTCTGGCCATATTTCTCGTTAACTGTATTTATTAGGAAAAATCTTGTAGATTAAAATATCTTTGCAGGTATGTTGATCGGGTCATATATATGGGGATGCCTGGCTGACACGAAGGGCAGAAAAATCGTGTTAATAGCTACGCTGCTGATGGACGGTATCGTGGGCATCGCGTCCTCGTTCGTCCAATATTTCTGGGTATTCCTGATCTTTCGGTTCTTCAATGGCTTCGCGTGAGTACGCAGAATGGTGTTCGACGAGAATTAATTTTCTGTTGACGAAAATGTCAGGAATTACACAACTTTCACACAAGTTATCACTAACAAATTAGAATTCTATTGAAGTAAAATCTATTTTTTTTTAAATTATCAAGAAATATGCTTTGTGATATCTATTTTTACCTATTTATACTTCTCTCTGAAATTCAATATACGAAAAAAAAATCTTTTAATCTTTGATAAACAATTATAATTCAAAACTGGAACCATCTCGATATTTTTGCCTAGAAAAAAATTACCTCTGAATTCATTAAGACAAATCTGATATTAAAATTAAGATTAAAATTCGTTATGTAGTATAACCGGCGCCATGGGCATTTGCTTTCCATATCTCGGTGAATTTCAACCCACGAAATATCGTGAACGCTGTCTTTGCTGGATGGAGATGTTCTGGACGGTCGGTGTAATAGTTTTACCACGTAAGTAGATCTTATTTCTTTTAAGAATCCAAGAAGCTGGCATCTAAAGCGAAGTAATTTTCAGTGATCGCCTGGTTGATTATCCCCATGAACTTTACATTCATCAGCGAAACTTTCTACTTCAAATCCTGGAATCTCTTCGTCGCGCTCTGCGCTCTGCCATCGATCATGCTTGGCTTGTGGCTGTTCGCCTTTCCCGAAAGTCCAAAGTTCCTGCTGGAGTGCGGCGAGACTGATGCCGCCCTCGAAGTATTTAAATGGATCTACTCGCGAAATACTGGCGCCGATCCTGAAACTTATCCGGTAAAACATTATTTTAACTTTTTCTTTTTAAATAAAAATAATGAAAAAGAAAATGATTCCAAATTTTTTATACATTTACTTTTTAATAAATAATCAAAGAAAGAAGTTCTTCCTCGATTATTTCATATAGTCATATCATTTTGTAAGCAATAATAATTGATAATATTAAATATTGTTGTAAAAATGTCAGTATTTTTATATAAATATTGAACTCTTTAAATCGCATATTAAAAAAATTATATTAAAAAATTATTTTTTAAATATTCTCAATGTTTTTCTGAGAATTCTTTTAATATTTTTAAAGAAATTCAATCCCAAGTTAGATATATCTCATTTCATTTTCTCTTTTTTATTTCAGGTAAAGTGTTTACAAGAAAAAACAAAGCATCAGGATAAAAGCACCAGGTCACTGAAGTTGCACAAGCGGAAGGATCTGAAAGTCCTCTTCGCGGAAATATATGATCTAACAACCGCACTTTGCAAGCCACCCTATCTGCGCAACACTCTGCTCGCATGCGCCATTCAATTTGGACTTACCAGCAGCTACTACACTCTGATGGTCTGGTTCCCAGAGTTGTTCACCAGGTGATTTCATCAATTATCATGTCTCATCTTGCATCTCCATAAATCCTTCGAATTTTTAAGTTAAAAGAAATTTCTTTAATATAAAATATTCTTTAATATAAAATTACAATAATCAGAAAATATAACTAGTAAAAATATAAATAAATAAATTCAAAGAATAAATTTTAATCCAGTGAAAACAATTCTCTTTTTTTTTAACTTTATTCTTCTTCGTCTACTCGAATTTTCATTGACTTTTGGATCTTGCAGCTTTATCTATTTTTTCACACATTTTATATATATATATAATTTATGATATTCCATTGCTAATTATAATCCTTGTTTGCATTATGTTCAACAGATTCGAGCAATTTGAGCATTTTAATCCCGGCGAAACCACGTCGGTGTGCATAGTGTCCGCTTTGCCGGACAACACGACCTTCTTCGATCCTTACGGATGCGACACGATAATCGCACCCTCCGTTTATCTGCACACCGTGTACATCGGCCTCGCATGCATTCCCGGCTCCATCATCTTGCCCCTTTTTGTGCACAAACTGGGCGCTAAATTTTTCCTAAGTGAGTAATGATATTCAACAATTCGGGACAATCATGAAGAACGTGGAAGAGAATTGAGAGAGAGAGAGAGAGAGAGAGAGAGAGAGAGAGAGAGAGAGAGAGAGAGAGAGAGAGAGAGCAGCGATAGAGAAGAAATTAAATTAGTTTTTAATAATTGAAGTCTAATCCAATTATTTAAATCCATTTAAAATTCGTTTTCATTTAGATTTCGAGATCTTAATAATCAAATTAAACTCCAAGCATTATTAGAATTAAATGATTAATACTACATTGTGTTCTCAGTTGTATCGCTTGTGGTCTCCGGTGCGGTGACGGTGGGCTTTTACTACGTGGTGAACTCGACACAGAATTTGATACTCTCGTGCGTGTTCGAGGCCCTCACGTCCCTTGGGATCTCTCTAGTCTATTGTGTAATCGTCGATATGTTCCCGACGAATCTCAGGTAAGTAAATCGCAGCTTCTTAAAATTATACCAATTTGATTTTTCTTTTTATTAAAATCCGAAATTTATTGATCATGTTGTCACAGAGTGATGGCCGCAGCTCTGTCGTTAACGATGGGTCGTCTGGGTGCTCTGGTCGGTAATTTGGTGTTCGGTTATCTCATCGATTTAGCCTGCGTGATTCCCATTATACTCTTCGCCGCGTTTCTCTTTGGTAAGGAAAATCCTCTCTCTAATTTTATGACTAGGAAGAACCTTTAAATTTCTCCTCTAAAACTTAATTAAAATTTAATTAATAATAATTAATAAATTTCAACTGTGCTCCACGAATTTGAATACTAAATCGTATTAATATTAATTTATTTAACTTCATTACTTTCCATTTGTCGAAATTTATCAGAAATTTTTGACTATAAGGTTTTAAGTATGAACATATGAAATAAATTTAATGCCGTGATTTATATTATGAATTTGGATTCAATATTGGATTTCGATATTTCGCATGAGACGAGATATAAGTAGTATAATTTGATCCATGACAAATACAGTGAAATAAGTAAGTCGATTAATTTTCAGCCTGCGGTTTCTTCTCGTTTCTGCTGCCAAGAACTGGAAAAGAGACGCTCGAGTAGCACAGGGAAAATCTTTTCTGCGTTTTGCTCGGACGACCTGAGGAATCTGTGCCTTGAATCATTCTCTCTTTTCTCGCGGTTGTATTTATTAATAAATTTATTTGTTAAAAAAAAGAACGCAAGTCTATTCGTATGTACCTCATCTCTGCATTATCTAAGGATGACACATGAACAGGAAACTCTAGAAGTGAAATTAAAATTTATTTAAAAGAAAAATGCGAATCTATTAGTATCTAATTGGAAAATGTCTGAAGTTAAATAGAAAATCTGATATAATTTATTTATTCGAATGTTTATAAAATCGGAAATGTAACTTAAAAAAAGATCTTTGTTGTCAATCATGTTCTTTAAGGATGTTTCGTTAAGCAATATATTTCAGAGCAATTAATTAAACAACAAATTTAACAAAATTGAATTTATTAATTCAATCGATAAATTAGTTTTCAAGCAAAATTTTTGACTACATAATTTTTTGTTTATCAATCTTTCTTTCTACATATTAGTAAAAAATTAATTATTCAAAACGTTAAAATATTAACTTGTTAGTTATCATTTGCGACGATTAAAGCATGAAAAATACAGCAATATAATGTTACAGAATTGCTATTGCAAGATAGAATTTACGTCGATAAGCGAAATTAAATATGCAAAATAGCGCGACAATTAGATAAAACCAATTCCACCGAACGAATGACGTAATCGATGCATGTATTCAGTTAATATTATGTTTCTTGATTAATCGACTCGATGATCTGTTATTTTTATATTTTACACAGACATCTCGATCTGGAAAGAAGAAAAAAAATCAAAATCGATAAATCATTGACTATTTTGTTTCTGAGAAAACGAACATCTCATTGTGAGTGAAACGGATTTCTCGTAAATGTCTTCCAGTAATTAGATTCTGATTAATTTAATTAGTAACATTAGTAACATTAGTAACAATTAATTTATCAAGTAATATCTGTAATATTTTGTTAACATAGATCATATTATTAATTTTTATTGATAACTTATGAAAGGAAGATTAGACAAGAGGCAACAAATTATACAATCAGGAATTCTATTATAAGCAAAAAAACAGTCAATTAAATTAATCGCTAATTAAGAATTAAACGGAATATAATCAAGTACATGATTAAGCTTCAAAAATTAATGATTGCATAATTATTGTAAAGCAAGAAATTTTTGTTGAAGAAGAATTTTAATTAATCATCTCAGATTTGTTTTATAGCTACAATATTTTTTATTAACTTATCGTAGAAGCGGAAACATTTGTGATCTAATTAAAAAATTCTCCACTAAAATTTCACAGCTATTCTTTTGTTCGCCTTACGTCTATTTCTAGCGATGTAAATTAACTTTCTAACGAGAAATAAACCGACATCAATTCGACGTATTTATTTCTCACCGAGTTAAATTCTCGCCGATTTAACTTCATTTATATTTTTTAAATTGTAATATTCCTTTCTCTACACGAATGTAGATCAATTAAGCTCTTGATTTGATTTGTTTTTCATCTTTTTTTCCATTCTAAGAATTAAAAAAAAAGATAAAAGATAAGCGAAATCAAAATTAAAAGCTGAAAAAAGATAAAATTAAGTTAAATCAAGATTGAAATTAATCTATATAGATAGCAGAAACCAATGTTATGAATAACTATTTTCTCTTTTTCCTTTTTTTAACAATATTCGAAATGACTGATCGAGACTCGGTGCGACTAGAAAACGTGATATATCGCACTCTGCGTCATGCGACCTCGGCGAGCCTTCCGTTCGGCTTCCCCTGACCACGTGTCCACGCGGTTTTACAATTCACGAAGGAAACGATGACGTAATTGTTCATTCTGTTCATGTGCTCACTCGTACTCGGTGTATCTCTTAACGCTCGATGATGCTTGGCGATCGGCGATGCTAGAGGAAGAGAGAGAAGGAGAATAGTATCGATATATTTAAAGATCATCGAGGAACTGGGCGGGTCGGGTTCGCTCGTCGTCGTCGGGGACAAGCGATAGACGGTGCGTCGCAGGGGTGACGTAATTCGACGGAAAAAGACGCGAACGAGCTCGAACGGTCTGCGTCAAGGTTATGTCAGAAACCGTCAGAACGCTGCCGACTGTTCGTCGCCGTCCTCGCCCTCGTCGTTGTTGTCATCACTGCAGGGAGTTTCCAAGAGAACATTGTTGCTATCCCGTTGTTATTTCATCTGTTCTTAATCACGTGCGTTGTGATACTTTAGCGTCCTCCATTGCGTGCTAAGGTAAATACTGCCTTGGTATGATATTTATTATTTTGTTAAAATGGATGTAATAGGGAAGTAATGGATGTATAGGAAAGAAAAGAAAGAAGAGAAAAATACGTAGACATCTTAAAATTATCAATAACTTTCTCTTTGCGAGTGTCAACTTCGTCAACTGATGCTTGTTCTATTTTAGCGTGGCGCGATTCCTGAGATATCCTCTATTCGATCAAATTTATCGTTGATGTAAGAGATTCGTCGGAGCATCACTTATGAATGGATTTTGTCCTCTCATTTATATTTTGTAACATGGCAAATTCAATATAATTTTATATTATTCATTTATGTTATCAATATGCTATCTTCATTCAATGATAAGATAAATTTGAGCTAACAGGTGAGTCAAACTGTAAATCCCAGTATTCAGTAGCAGATAAATCAAATTTTAATGAACGAAAGTATAGATTCTGTCAATTGCTCATGTAGTTTTCAAATAAATGTTTGTAATATAAGAATGATGTATATATTTTCTGTAATAGGATCATATGTATCATCAATTCTGATACAAATGTCTTTGATACTTAATTCAAATATTAATGTCAATTTCTAATATCAGGAGTGAATCATTAAACCAATATTTGATAACCACGTGATAACATCTGATATAATAAATGCTAAGTGTTATGCAAATAAAATTGAACATAAAAGTTTCAATAGTCACTACATATACATAAAAATTCTTGGGGCAATTTAAATTTTAGTTTTCGACATGAATATCTTTATTTTTGTTTTAAGAGTTGTACAGCAATACAAAAAAATTTGATTGAAAGAGAAGAAAACAGATAGCAAAATGGTTTTTGAATCGATCATTGCCGAGCTTCTTAATAAGGTGATCGGCGAATACATTGAAAATTTGGATTATACTCAACTTAAAGTCAGCCTCTGGGGAGGTAGGAAAGCATATGATAATCCCATCTTTTGCCTGGTGACAAATACATCTTATGTGATAAAATTTGTTTTTAGGTGACCTTGTTTTAAATGATTTGCTAATAAAAGAGTCTGCTTTGGATGTACTAGATCTTCCTGTAAGATTAGAATATGGCCGATTAGGTATAAGAACTATGTTATCTATTTAATTATATACATATTAAATATAACAAATCTACAAAATAAATGGACATAAAATAATGATGCATTAAAGATAAGATAGAAATTACTATTTTGCAAATACTTTCAGGAAAACTGATATTGAAGATTCCATTCAAAGATATGTGGAATGGTCAGATCGATGCGATAGTCGAGGAGTTGTTTATACTAGTAGTGCCTACAAGTCAAGTTGCGTACAATCAAGAGAAAGAGTCGAAAGCGCAGTTAGAAATTAAACGAGCGGAGCTTGCGAGAATAGAAAAAAGAAAGCAATTAGCAGAACTAAAATGTAACTAAATATTAACATTTTTTTATATCAAGATATAATATTATATCAAGACCATAGAAATCTTTTTGTTATGATTTTGATAATAGCAAATAAAATTATAATTTAATTTAATTTATAACGCTGCTGTTTTTAAATAATGTTAAATAAGTTTTATGAAAAAAAAGAAAATAAGTTTAAATGAAGTTTTTCATGAAAATTAAGATTATATGGCTATATGGAAATGCTTTAATTTTTAATTTTTATTTTTAAATTTTTATTTTAATAATTTTTATTTTTATTTAAAATTTTTTAATTCTTGTAGCGCAAGACAAACTGGATGACTCGATGGTCGAAAAATTGGTCGCTCGTATGATTAAGAATATTCACGTAGAAATCAAGAGAATTCATGTACGATACGAGGATCATGTCACCTTTAAAGAGCATCCATTCTCCGTCGGTTTTACCCTGAATACTTTTATCCTTGAAAGTTGTACAGACAAATGGGAGATTACTACTGGCAATCTAAAGGACATGTACGCCATTCCGCAGATCTTCAAACTGTGCAGTTTAGATGGGCTAGCTGTCTATCTCAATACAAGTGTAGAGCAATACAGCAAGAGCCCGCAGTCTTCGTACTCCAATCTCTTTTGCAGGGGCATCGCGACTATGGATTATACTCCAGTCAATTACCGATATTTGTTAGGACCAATCAATATCAAATCCAAGCTCAGACTCAATCCTAAGCCCGAATCTGACGGTAGTAACTATACAATCCCCAAGGTAACTTGCATTTATCATTCTGTCAGTTATTTTTTTATAACTGAAGAATTTATTTTTAAAGCGTATTGAACCTATATTTTGTTCTATATTTTGTTTTTCCTTTTTACAGGTGTGGTTAGATATGGAGATGCAGAAATTACGGATTGGTTTGACAAAGCGTCAATACCAAACCCTGGTACGGCTCGGAGAAGGCTTAGATCAAGCGCGGAAAGCTGCGCCATATCGAAAATATCGACCGAATTTAACATCGTATCGTGGTCACTATAAGGAGTGGTGGCGTTTCGCATATACCTGCGTCCTCGAGGAGACCGTGCGACGATGTCGTCGCAATTGGGATTGGAACCATATGAAAGATCATCGCGACACTTGCCGCGCTTATGCCGAGGCTTACCAAACGAAGCTGACAACGAAGAAACTAGCAAAAGAGATCGATGAACGATTGACGGACTATGAGACAAGACTGGACATCTTTAATCTGGTGATTATCCGGCAACAAATCGAGATGGAAGTGGAAAGACTGGCGGAACGTGAAAAAAGTTTAAAGGCAAAGCGAGGTTGGTTCGGTTTCTTGTGGACTAGCTCGCAAGCTGAAGAGACAAAGGAACTTAACTCGGCCGCGGCCATCATGCGCAGGTTTATTTTTAAATATTTTGATAAGTTAAAATTTCAAAATTTTATTTTTAAGATTTTTTGAATATTTTGAAAGTTTTTAGATATTTAAACTATTATTAAAAAATAGCTTTAACGAATATAACATAATTATTAATGATATCAATGATAATATTCAGGTTTGAAGAAGCGATGACGCCGCAAGAAAAGGAGAAGCTCTATAGAGCAATTGATTATCAGGAGAATAGCGCACCCGCGCATTATCCGGAAACGTATGAGATGATTGACACATGTTTCCTTCTGCACGGTCTACAGATTTCCTTGTTGGATACGGACAAACAGCATCCTTGCGTTCTAGATCTACAGCTACACGGTGTACAAGCAGGCTTTAAATCGCGGCCATCCGCGAATGCGATTCTAGTTACCGCTTCCATTAGTGACATGAAACTGCTGGGCGCGATGCAGAATGATCGAGTCCCTTCCCTCTTTAATCCAGAGCATGGCAGCTCCGACAGCGCCCTATTGTCGGTCTCCTATGAAAAGAATCCGATTGACAGGCTGTGCGGTGACCGCGTCATTGTCAAGTCTCGATCCGTCGACATTATTTACGACGCGCAAACCATAATAGAATTGGTCAATTTGTTTAAGGTATTTCTCATACCCAATTTCCGAACGCGCGATTTCTAGAAGATATTAAAAAGAGAAAAATGTTTACTTGGATTAACTAATTTCTCTCGAATTTATCTGAATATAATTCTTTTTTATTCTTTTTTTTTTGCGAATTTAATGTAGATGAATATTTTCCAGGTGCAAGATTCTTCGACACTGAGTCAACTACAAACAGCCGCGGCAGAACAATTGGAGGGCCTGAAGGAAATGTCCGCCCTCGGACTGGAATATGCTATACAGAAACATTCAGTATTGGACATACAAGTGGATATGCAGGCGTCGCAACTTATTATACCGCACGGAGGCTTTTACGAAGACGCGAAAGCGCTAATTGTTGTAAATCTAGGCAGTTTAAAGATGCATTCCCTAGAGAAAGGTAAAAGTGAAATGGCTGGCGCTAGTGTTAAACAACTAGTTAGTTTGGGCAAAAGTGAAGAGGAAGTAATGCTACATTTGAGGGAACACAGCTACGATAAATTCGTTTTGAAAATAGTCAATTTTCAGGTAATAATAGTTTTAATTTGCAATTTAAATAATTAAACGTATAAAACGTATAAAAAATAAAAATTTATATATAAAGATAAGAACTTAAAAGTTTGAATATTACATAAAAAATCAAAAATATTTGTAATTATGTAAGATTTATATATATCTCTCACAACAAAGAAATCTCTCACAACAATGAAATTTAATTCTGTAAAAATAATTTTTACGAAACAATTATACTTAAATTTATTTATTGCATCAGGTGTTAGTATCGCTGCCGAATGAAGAATGGCGATCAGCCTTGGCGAATACCGAGAATTCCCTGACGTTACTCCATCCAACTACGTTGGAAATCCAGTTCCATAAGTGTCTGATAACGGACGATCCTTTGTTACCCAAGCTACGACTCCTTGGTCACCTGCCATCAGTTGCTGTGAACATAACGGATATTCGATTACTACAAGCACTTTCGATCGCGCAGAGTATTCCCTTTCCAACGGAGGAAGAAAAACCCGAGTTGCAGCGTACCTCTCTTTCTAAATCTATCTCACAGCTATCTCTGAAGGAGCTTGGCACTACGATATCCAGCATCGCTGACAAGAGAAAGCAGCAGCAAGAAATGACCGCACCAATGAAACAGACTACCGACATGGAAATGAAATTTGAGATGAAAGAATTCACATTGTCAGTATCCAGGCAGCGGGACGACGACGCAGTGGAATTCCTCAGGTTCGGGATACATGCTTCATATAAAAACGTGAAAAATTAAAAGTTTTAATTTAATTATCTCAGAATTTGATGAAATTAACTTTGTTGAGCTTCTGAATTTATTTGTTTCTCTTAGATTTCAAGTGTTGCAACTCGAGGCGGAATTGCTGCAACGTACGTATGACCAGGAAGTGCAACTGCGCCTAGGCGGTGTGCAGATGCGACAATTATATGAGGATCAAGAGATCTTTATGGTCAACACGCCGATGTCGGCAGGCAGAGATGAATATCTGATTGTCGTGCGATACGTGAATGTGAACAAGCGTTCACCAGAGTTCACTACGCGCCATGGTTCTGTCGTGAAATTACTTCGATTGGAATTTACCACGCTTGATACTCTGCTGCATCAGGAAGCGCTTATCGAGCTATTACGGTTTAGTACGTATATTCAGGATCGAATGAATTCGCTTGAGAGTGCTCAGAAAAAGGAAGTCGAGCGTCCTCGACCGAGTCATTTAGTCTCCATTCAAGAAGAAACTTCCGGCTTCCTCAGAGAGCAGATACAAAAACAGAGATTGAGACCTGGCCGACGCAAGAGGCAAACTGTCGAGTGTATTGATCTAAAAGTGCATGCCAAAATCGACTCAATCAATTTAAAGATTTCCAGCGCTGCCCGAGATATCACTGCACTTCACATCGAAGGTATCAGCGCTAGTTTTCTCAGCAAATCTTCATATTCACAAATGAATGCCGCTCTGGCCTCCATCAACATTAAAGATTTGAATCCTGCTTCTATGTATAAGGATATTGTAGCTGTTGAAGGTACCGAGCGCCCTTTGGAGGTGGGTATTTTTAAACTTTATTATTTCTACATCTGTAATTATTTCTTTGAAAGTATATTTGTAATTGTTGCTTGTAATTGTTGTTTGTAAATCTTTTATTTTTAGATTCAAGTAGTGATGTACAACATTGAGCAATGGGAGGTAGACAAGAACAACATGTCCATCAAGGTGACAATGGGTTGCCAGCGCATTGTCTTCTTGAATGCATTCGTCACCAGTGTGATGAATTTCCTGAACAACTTTCAAGCGGCACAAGAAGCTATCAGAGACGCATCGGCAGCGGCAGCAGAAGTTGCAAAGACGAACATCAAGGATGTTCAAGAGAGTGCCTCACGCATCGAGTTACATGTTAGGATCAATGCGCCGGTCATATACGTACCAATGAACTCCAAGAGCGAACATAGCTTAATGCTGGATATGGGCAATCTTATGGTGCAGTATGATGTTTATTTCAATTCGTAGAACAATTTAATTTCAAAGCTTTTCAAAATTTAAAATATATATACATTAATTATATATATTTTTAATTTTGAAGAATGTCAATATTAGATATCCGAGAGATATATTTTTATATGATATATATGATATTAAATTATATTAGATCCATTTGAGAGCGCGCTATTAGCACTATCACATTTAGCCTTGAATTTTATTTAACGAAAGATAAAGATAGAATGACGCGATAGCGCTAATAACGCATTTTCCCCGAATACATCGTATTGTTACGCGAATTTTATTTTACAACAGATAATTATATTTTTTTTAAAGCAAAAGATAACGCTTTTAAATATTTGTAAAGTATAATAAAATATTAATTTGATTTAAACATTAAAATGTAATTTCAATTTAAACATAATTTGAACTAACTAAAAACTAACTAGAAAAAAATATTGCACAAATATATCTAAAGAATTTTAATAAAAAGTAAAATTCTACAGGTATGTAATGTTTTCAAGAAATTAGAGGCAATGAATGAGGACACCGGCGAATGTCCCATAGTGGATGAAATGAAGATCGAGCTACAGAACTTGAAATTGTCTCGAGTTCGGTTGAACATGGAGAAATTTATTAGTGAAAACGAAGTGTTGCTACTCGAACCGGTGACATTCATACTGTTAATGAAGCGCAATCTATCTACTGCTTGGTTTACCAATATTCCGGATATCGATATGTCTGGTAGATTGAACAAGATCAATCTGCTGTTGAGCAAAGAGGATTATGCCACGATTCTGAAGGTATTGGAACAGAATCTGAGCGAGACCTTCGAAGACTCGAAACCCGCACAAATCGCACCATCTACTGTCAAACCCGAAGAGCTTCAGGTAAATAATAGTTACAATAATATATAATAATGATGATTATTGGATTGATATATATGTCTGGCATTTGTTGTTAAGATCCAACCGGTGTATAAGTATGAGGTCGATGCAACGCGAGAAACTCCATCGGTGGACACGCAGGAACGACACGCACATACGTTTGTGAAATTCGAGTTTATCATGGACAGTCTGGTGATCAATCTCTTTACTGGCGGCTCCAAGCTGCTGCAGTCACAGACATCGCCATTGCATTTACCCGAGAATGGATTGGCACGTTTCAGCCTCACGCACTTCGCTGTGAAGGGCCGTGTATTCGCGGACGGTCTGCTAGCCACGTCGATCTTACTAATGAACTGCACGCTGGATGACATGCGGCAAAGCCGACAGGGCTCACTGGTACGGATTATGGAGAGAACCAGCAGTGTGCCGCTGTCAGGATCGAGCGCTGGCGAGAATCATCTCGACAAAGAGCACGCGAAGTACAATGCCAGAAGTATGCTGGATGTGACGGTGCGTCAGAGTCCGAACGATATATTCGCCGACGTGAAAGTGTTCTCTTTCAGCATCATCGTGTCTCTCGAATATCTTATGAAAGTCAAAGACTTTTTCGATGTGGATACCGCGAATAAAACGGCCATTACTTCCGCGCAGTCCATCTCAAAAAGCGAATCAAAGAAAAAGCCTACACAACAGCAGCAAGCCGCTCCAACATCAAAGATGTTAACTGTGAATCTGCACGTAGAAAAGCCGGATATTATTTTGCTCGAAGATATGGACGATATTAATTCAAATTGCATAATATTAAATACGGAATTGTTGCTGAAATTGCGCATTACAGGAGAACATCAAGTGATCACAGGTTCTATCAAAGATCTCTCTTTGCTAACGGGGATATATAATCCTGCAAAGAGGACCGATTGGATTTATCAGGTATCTGGAAATAGATTTTATTAAATATAATGTATACAATATTTTTTATTTAATGTATATTTACATATTACATATTATAAAGTTTACAATTTTGCACTTTGAAAAGTTTTCTAGATTTATTTCTCATTTTAATAAAGGCTTATATAAGCTTATATATTTTATGATTTAGGTAAAATGCAATTATAGTAATTGATTAATAATAATTAATGTACTTATATCTATACAGATAATTAATTCATTACTATTAAATAAATCTATAAATTTTATCTTATAAATTTTCTTAAATTTTATAGGATTCTTTGAGTTACTAATTTGTTAAGTCAAGATTATAAAATAATTCATTTTAATATTTCTTATATATTAATTTCTACTATTGTTAATTATTGTAGGTTTTAAAACCGTGCAGCATTAGCGTAGCTGGTTCCACACCAGATGACAAAGGACTCCATTTAGAGATCCGTTGTACGGATATACATGTCTCTGTTTCACCAGGTAATTCGCGAATTCCTATGCTGTTAGCATTCAATTAACGTGATTATTTGCAGGTGTAATTGAAATATTGAATAAAGTCATTCATACGATGACAAAGAAAGAAGAGGAGGACAAAAACATTATTAAGCCCGAGCCTAATTACGAAGGCTTGTGGATTATCACGCCCTTCGAGGAAAATAATTATTGGTTTCTAAAGACAGGTTGATAATAGATTATTTAACAATTATTATTGTATGAAACAAGACATTAATAATTATTCCGTTTGTTAAATTGTATTTTTCTTTTAGAAATCGCAATGGAAGCTTTCGAGGAGTTTGCATATCCAGACGATGAGATTGTGGCAACTTACAAACCTGAATTAGCAATTGTTTCAGCGCCGACAATCTTGTTTACTTTAGAAGCGGGTGTTGGCAACAAAACTCTGCCCATGTTGTTACTTCATCTGGGTTTCCAAAGCAGCATCAAAGATTGGAGTACAAAATCTGTATGTCATTTATGAAAATTCTTATTCTTTTTATTGTATTATATTATATTTTTATATCATGATTTTTATTGTTATTATTAGCATTATTATTTTCTTCTTATACATATTGTATTGACAAAGCGAGTTATGCTTCTAGATGAGCATGGACTGTTCAATGTCGATGATCATGGCATATTACAATAGTCGTCTTGCGCTATGGGAACCGCTGATCGAGCCGATAGAAAGCTTTAGAAACGGCAAACGCATCTCGACATCATGGGAATTAAAAACAAAAGTAACTAGCATTCTTCCTGTTAGCTCCGATAATATTTAATTTCGTTTTTTAATTAATATTATTTATTAATATTATTGTTAATTAATATTATTGATTCATTTATCAGATCCAATTTAACGACATATTACTCGACTCTAGAGGCGCCAGCACAGTTAGTCCTATGTCAGAAAGTGAACCCGAAGAGCTACAACAATCTACCAAAATATCCATCGATGTCGCGTCCTCTGTAAGAAAGTTTTTTGAAATACAAACATTAAAATGATTGATTATATAGATATTAAATTATATATTATTTATACTATTTGTACTATTTGTAATTATATATTATTTGGTTAATTTAGATAAACAATTTTTATAAAATTTATATTTAAATGAATTTTATCGCAGTTAGTGATATTTTTGCCAAAAGATGCGAGTTTATTTCTTTTTCTTTTGTTTGGGATAGGATAATTTGGAAATAACTGTGACGAAGACATGTCTGGATGTCCTGAAGCAACTCGGCCAGTCGTTTTCTTCAGCAATGGAGGCCGCCGAAAAAGGACCCACTAAGAAGGTAGCACCATACGTGCTGAAAAATGAAACCGGTCTGACGATGATACTTGATTTAGAGGACAGTTTCTTTAAGGTTATTATCTTGAAAAATGATTTGAATTTTTATTTTATTTATTCAATATAATAAATTATTGTTTATTCATAAAATCATAGTTTTATTCATATAAAAGATGATAATTGTTACAGATTTTTGATGATGGGTCGAGAATAAGAGATCACAATGATTCATATATGGAAGTGATTCTTGAAACTGGTGCATCGATAGAGCTCGCACCGAAAACATCTAAGCTGGATACGCGTCTTCTTGAGCAGTTAAAAGTGGAGACCGTGAAAGATAGAGAAGACAGTAAATTCTCTATATCAGTAAGTTAATATATAGATATATTGCAATATGAAATTTATGATTTTTGTAGTAGAATAGATATTTGTGATTTTTTGATGAATTTAAAGATTTTTTGAAGAAAATGTTAGATATCAAAATGTCAAAAATAATTCTTGAGAAGAAATTGAATATAATAATTTTTAAAAAATAAATAATAAAAGAGAATTTATTTAAGTAACTATTATTATGATTATATGGTTAAGATTAATTAAAGATTAATAAAAATAATATAATATTTTTAATTAAAGATAAATTTGAGACTAATTAAAATAATATAATATTTTTAATAGTTTAAAGGAATTCAAAGCAAGTTGGCAATACCTGTACTGAGAGCAGATAGGAGATTCTTCTCTTTGAAGCACCGGAAAGAAGGCTCCGAAGAATGGGGCATCGTATCGGATATTATTGTGGAGGAGGGTAGCACGATTGTCACTCTTAGAAGCATCCTTCAGGTAAATAAATGAAGATGAATAATTTTATCAACAATATTAAGCTATTTGTGCATTGTAGGTTCACAATCACTTCGCGCAACCGATATCCGTTTATTATATGACAAAGCGTGGAAACGAAGTAGAATGTGTAGGCACAGTGGCACCAGATGAGAAACTCAATTTACCTCTGGACGCTGTATACACTCCGACTAACATGTACTTACTGTTTTTCAGTGTTGAGGGGTATGTTTACATTTTTTTGTATTTTTATATTATCTTGATTTTCATACAAAAAATTGTTCAACGTAATTTTTATGAAATAACATAAAAGATGAGATATAACAAACGTATAAAATACATAAAATTAATAATGAAATTTGATGCACGAAGTTTCAATGACTGCATTTAATTTATTTTAGATATATGGTATCAATCGAGCAGTTTGTCTGGAAGGATTTGCAGAAAACAGTTTCCATGACGAAACTACTAAAATGTGAGCCGCGATCCAAACAGAAAGGCACAGAACCATTTTATATTCAGGTCAATATTCTTTCTGTATAATTTTTATGATAAAATGTAGTTATTTCCTAAACAACGCAGATGATTGGATTAATTCATCCAGTTGTATCAATAAAGAATAAATAATAGAAAAATAAGAAATATCTTTATATAGGTCGTAGGAGAGATTGAACAAGTGTATTTCGAAAATACTACTCGTCACACCATGGCTAGTACTATTTATAATGTACATCTCTATCCACCTGTATATCTGAAGAACTTTCTGCCAATTGACATCATCATTTGCTTGCCAGGCACTGTTGAGGAAAACTTACTCGAAGCTAGTGCTTCCTTGCAACTTCCTACGATTAATCCAGTCAAGTCAAGTATAATAATTAAGGTAGAATGGACAGCACTTAATAAAAATTTGACGATTATATGAAACTTATTTTTTATTTTTATTACAATTAATAATATATTTTAACACACAGAATACTCCAAAATTTTTAGATAACAAGATAAGAGAATGTTAAATGTAATTTATCGATTATTATAAAATGTATAAGATTTTACGATTTATTTATTTAAAATTGCATATGTTTTAGTTACCTAATTACTTGGAAAAAGATTGGTCATGTCAAGGTGAGATTATGGCAAATCCACCGGAGTTTGCGGTCTGGTCGTTCGAATCTTTCGACAGCGCGCAGAAGGCAGTCCTGGATCTCGGAATGCACACATCTTACAAACATGGTTCCATTGTCATGGCGCTATATTGTCCTTTCTGGATGCTGAACAAGACTGGTTTAATGCTGTCCTACAGAGTATGTTTGTAGAATAATTTTGATCGCTTTTGATAATTTTGCTTCTTCAAAAATAATTCGCAATCTATATCGATCTTTACATTTCTAAAACCACGTTAAAAAAAAAAACTTTCTTTAAAATCCCGTAAGACTTTCTAAGCCTCAACCTCTTAAATTACGACTATTTTATAAAGATCCTGTTGCACCTTGAAATTTTCATGAATAGTGAAGTTTTCATTAATATGCACGCTTTTCTCTCATGTCATATGTATTAATGTTTATTTCTTCAGCACAATTTTCAGCTCAATCTTCAACTTTTCTCCGTTAATGTACCCTAATACTAATCAGCACTGCATCTTGCCTGATTAAATCCCCGTATTCAACAAACTCCATTATTTTACAGAAATCAAGTAAAGGTGGCAAAGAGCATTCAAGCCCGATCAAGGTAGAGATTTCCTGTTATCATGTCGCCTTATTGTGCTTCTTGTAAATAGTTAACTTATATTTTTTGCGAAAGTAGCTGAAATCTAAATGTAATTATTGGATTATTTAACAATTATTTTTTTATGAACAATTATCATATTATTAACTCGAATTTTGTTACTGACGTCGACATATTTATCGTTTTATTCATGAGAATGTACATGCGTACATCTTTCAGAAATTCGTTTCCGCTATGAAACCCCGTCGACAACGCGCACAGTACAGGAAGAAGAAAACGGGCGCGGTGACACATTGTTTTATTTCAATATTATCGTTGTTCTCGTGCTTGTGTTCGCAAAACTCGATTACTGTGAAATAACAAATGTCTATTCTAGTCATGTCGTCGAAACTGTAAACGTCATAAACTGTGTTAGATTATCATTATTAGTTTTGACTTTTAACAACTGCAGCTTATCAAACATAAATTGCACTTACACGTTACATTAGCTACATTACCATGTGTAATTGTGCTTTATTACATACGCTTTATTTCATTTTTTTGTTCCCTTTACAATCCTCTTTGCTCGTTCGATTTACATTTGAATCACTACGTTCCTAAATATCCAAATTCTTTGATCCTTTAATCCTCGAATTTTTCAGCATTTTTTTGTTTGCGTTTTTAGATACCTAGGCATAAAACATCTCGATTCCAAAATCAACAAAGTTTGTATAAGTTTGTATAAGGAATTAATTATTATAGAGATGTTTGTTATTTGTTCTTATTAACTGCATGAGGTTACATTGAAAGAATCATTTATGACAGGCGAAAGCTAAAGATTAATTCATACCTACTGTTCCTTCCAGACAGCGGACGATTATTTGAACGTCTTGTATCATCCGGAACACTTTAAGGGGCCTATTCTATTCTCGTTCCGCTCCAAGGTTTTCTTTGGCAAGAAAAAGGCCATGATTAGAGTGGAGGACGGAGAGTGGTCCGACAAGTTCTCCATCGACGTCGCGGGCAGCGAGGGTGTAGTAGCCTGCAAATATAATGGAATGATCTATCAGGTCTGCATCGATCATTTTTATCGTTTTCTCTTTCTATGTACATTAAATTGTTAACAACTATAATGATATCGTACAATTATATATGCGTTCAACGAAAAAATAAAGGAAAAATAAAAGATACATAAATACAATTGAAATATAAATACAATTGAAGATTTTGTCTTTTGTCTACAGATTGGAGTACATAATCAATTGACATACAACTCGTTGACCAAGCAGATCACGTTCACGCCTTATTATATACTCGTCAACAACGCAGATTTCCTGATAGAATGCCAGGAAGGTGATCGACCAGCTGATCCGATAATCAAAGTACGTTAGATATAAGCCATTCGATTATTATGTTATTTTAGTATGAGGTTACATTACAATGTCAATGCCAAGGTGCCTCCTGGTGAATGCACGGCTTTGTGGCCCCGAACTGAACATGAGACCAAGACTTTGAAGGCGAAGGTCGCAGGCCAACCCGAGAAAACCGCGGCGTTTATTTATACTGACAGCCATACAACTTTGCTAAAATTGGACAATAAGGTAATTAAAAACATCGACAAAGAGAAAATATGAATGTAATGAAACATATTTATTTATATAAAGTTATAATTAAAATAGATAATTAAGTAATTATCTCCTGTTTTCACGATATTTTTAATAAAATTTTTTGCATTACAGTATGGAGGAATTAATGTAGACATACAAATCAACGAGGGCGGCATTTACATCTCCATGTCAGCTTACAGTCCAGGCAATGCGCCAGCTTTGATTATCAATCATACACCGCACACCATTAATTTATGGGAAAAGGGTTCAATCAACGTTAGGTATATAAAAGAATCATTAAACATGATGTCAATATACAGTGAATTATTTTATCTATTTGCTTAATACGAAATCTAATTAATCATATGTTAATACGAACTAATCGTTTGTATACTGACAGGTCCATTCAGTCTTACAACAGGATGTTTTATGCTTGGGAAAATCCGGCGGGGCCGCGAAAGCTGGTCTGGGAAGATAACAATGGCAAGGAAATCGAGGACAATCTTCGTAAGGTATAAAAGGAGAAAATGAGATAAGAACAAGAGGAAATTCGTAGAAATAAATAATGCAAATAAATATTTCTTTTCCAGGATAATCTTGGTACTTTTCAACTGCCAGATGTAGACGAGAAACTGTTCTACGTGTCGTTCCTAGATGGTACTCAACGAATATTATTATTCACTATGAATTTGAAAATCGCCGAAGATTGTCAATTGGCCGGTGACTTGGAAATAATAGATCAGGAAATCACGTTGAATATTCATGGTATTGGATTTTCTCTCGTGAACAACATCACCAAATCCGAATTATTGTACATGTGCATTGCCAGGTGAGCATATTTTTTAATATTATTAAATTTAAAGAAGTTTCTTCGTACTTTTTGATCAAGATATATTATTTGCGTAATTAGAACATGAATTTTTTGTAATAATTGATAACTTTAATTATTTAATGAAAAATTGATAAATTTAATTATTCCTTGTATGATTGTATTATCATGGAAAATATTAATGAGATTCTATTATAATTCAGCTCTGGAATTATATGGGAGACGCGCAAATCTCCCGGTAGTCGATGGCGAGCCTTAAACGCTAAAGAGGTGAATGCTATTGAGGAAGGATATCAACGATACATGAAGGAACTGCAAGTCAACAAGGAAGTAGATTATCGTGTAATGTTGGAACCAAAATTAATGGTACAGCAAACAATTCTCACTTAATTGAAGTTTCTAAAGCTTTTAAAAGCTTTTAAAGCTAATTTTATCTCTGCATTAAAATCTATTTATCATTTTATATTGTTTTTAGGTGGATTATATGAATATGGAGATGTTGAAACCATATCGTAGATACATGCGGCGCACATTCCAAACTGGGCTTTGGTTGCAATATCGTACCTCAGCGCATCAAGTACAATTACATGCAAAGATCAACAAGCTTCAGATCGACAATCAGTTATCGGAATGCGTCTTCCCGGTTATATTGGCTCCAGTCCCACCACCAAAAAGTGTCACACAGAGCACAGGTATTATTAATTATTCTTACAACACGAAACATTATTTTTTTTATCTTTTGATATGTGTTTCAGTCATTATATCAATTAAAAATATAATGTATCAAATTTAAAAATTTTTTAAATTGTATATCTTTTTTATAATGTTTTCTAATCTTTATTTCTGCAGTTATGAAACCTTTCGCGGAACTTAGTATGGTCAAGCGATTGTTGGAGCACAGTACCGTGCAACAATTCCGATACTTTAAAGTTCTCATACAAGAGTTTCATATCAAAGTAGACATAGTCTTTATAAATGCAATAATGAGTCTTTTTGAGGCGAATGAAGTTAGCGATGTGGAAGAGGTGAGTCGCAAGATATTGAAATTTATTTAGATTTATTTAGAGATTTATTTAGAAATTTATTTAGAGATTTATTTTGGTGATCATTTTTTTATTCATTTCAGAGCGCGTTGTTCCGTACAGACATGAAACTGGTCAACGAACCACTGATGTATCACGTCAGCCTGATCACCACGGCCGAACAAAAGAATTTCTTCGATCTGTTACATTTCTCGCCACTTAAGGTTTGTCGTGTTTCATACATACTTACAAAAATTACACAAACATTATTTTTAGTCTGACAAAGTATTTATTTCTTTCTTTATAGATACACGTCAGTTTCTCAATGACTGGCAGCGGAGGAGGTCCTTCCGCATTACCGCAACTACTTAATGTACTGTTGCAAGGAATTGGTGTAACACTAACAGATATCAACGATATTGTGTTCAAGTAAAGTTTTTAATTTGAAGATATTTTTAAAAATCATGAGAAATGATTCTAAAAATTAAAATTCTAGAATTTTGTAATTTTTGTATTGTACAGAAGTTGTAAAATTATATGATTTTATAAGTTTTTTTATTGGCATAGATTGGCGTACTTTGAGAGAAACTACATATTTATGACGCACAAGCAACTCGTCTCTGAGGCGAGCACTCATTATGCGGGCCAGGCGATCAAACAAGCGTATGTACTCGTACTAGGACTCGATGTGATCGGTAATCCGTATGGACTCGTAATTGGGACTATGAAAGGCATCGAGGACCTGTTCTACGAACCCTTTCAAGGAGCCATACAGGGTCCGGGGGAGTTCGCGGAGGGCCTGTTCCTCGGGGTGCGCAGCATGTTAGGCCATACCGTCGGCGGGATGGCGGGCGCTGTGTCGAGGATCACGGGAGCAATGGGTATGTATCTCAATCGAATCTTTTAATCAAAATATATAGGTTTATTTTTGCGCTTGTAATGGATATTCGTAATATTGGTTAATTCTGATAATTTTATAGTATTTGTAAGATATTTTTTATTATTATTTTAAAAATATATATATATATATTTTATTTTTTATTATTGATGCTTTTACAGGCAAGGGTATAGCTGCTCTGACCTTCGACAAAGATTATCAACGAAAGAGGCAGGAACAACTCAACAAGCAGCCTGCTAATTTACAAGAAGGTCTTGCGCGAAGCGGGAAGGGTTTAGTAATGGTAAAGTTACAAGATAATTATATTATGGATTATTTCTTTAATCTAATATACCAATAAATTATTTATTTACTTTATTCGATAGGGTGTAGTTGATGGTGTAACAGGTGTAGTAATGAAGCCTTTATCAGGAGCAAAAGAGGAGGGAGTAGAAGGATTCTTCAAAGGATTTGGAAAGGGCGTAATTGGACTCGTTACCAGGCCTACTGCTGGTGTTGTTGACTTTGCAAGCGGTTCTTTCGGGGCTGTTAGACGGTATGATTTATATAAATATTTATATAAATTTTAATAAAATTGTTTATAATTTGGTTATTAATCTGATAGAAATTACATTGTCTTCATTTCAGAGCCACCGAATTGAATGAAGAGGCAAAGAGAGTACGATCACCTAGATTTCTGCAACCGGATAGTCTTGTTAGACCATATATAAAAGATGAAGCCGAAGGCAACAAAATATTGATGGTAGGTATTTAATTTCATTTCTAAGATTTCTGAAATTTCATTTTTCTAAGAAAATTCTAAAAATATAAATTTATAAAAAAGATTATCTATATATTTATATATATATATATATATATATATATATATAGTATATAATATATATATATATATATATATATACTATATATATATATATATATATATATATATATATATATATATATATATATAGTAATATAATAAAATATATAATATATAAAAAATAATACTTTTTATAAAATTTATATTTTTCCTAAAAATTATCGATACAGAAATAAAATTTTATTATTTTTTTTATGTAAGAATTATTTTCAATTAAAATAAATTTTATAGAAATAATTTATGCACACAAGAAAATCTACAAAAATCTTTTTTTCCGTAGGAATTGGAAAAGGGAAAGTACGCACGTACGGACGTTTACGTCTATCACATTATCATTAACAAAGATGTATTATTACTTACCGACAAGAGATTATCATATCTCGAGCACAATGATATATTTGGTGGCTGGCGGGTTAGGATATATTATATTAATTCTTCTTAGTTTTTTAGTAATAAAAAGAAAGCAATATTATTATTATTATTGTTGTTGTTGTTGTTATTATTATTATTATTATTATTATTATTATTATTATTATTTTAGGTTGATTGGACTCATACTTGGAACGAATTCAGCGAGCCAGCAAAGATCGTAGATAGAGGTGTACAAATTTTTATTAAGGACGCTAGTAGAAAGAAAAATTCGGTGGTCTGTTTGGCAATGCAGCTCAATCTAAAATACTTTTAATAACAGATCATAATGTTAAACAAGTACGTACCATATAACTATTTGTATATTTTCATAAATCTTTTTTTATTAAATTATATTTGTATTATATTTGAGATAGATATTTTATCTTACAATTTATCGTCTTTCTTGTAGTTGATATGCAATAAAATACAAGAGCAGATCAATCAATCCGAAGTATAACACAGTAATACACGTAAAATATGCGACTTCGAATTATATAATAGAAGAAGAAAATGCTTGAGAAAAAAAATGCAAAAGAGAGCAAACAAGCCGTTTAATTCCAAATGCTTTGCAAGCGAATTTGCACAATTTCTATGCACATTTTCTACAGATATTATCTATAAGACTGATACTGCGTAATCGCAACAATCGGGTAGAGGAATACTAATTAGTGTACTGAAAAATGTGGTCGCCAAAATGGGGCTTCTCTCACTTTTCACCAATAGTTGTTCAGAACTTTTTTTGTTGTCGGTATTATATTACCGAATGAACAACGTCAGATTGGTAACGTAGATCCATAACATTTATTAAGAAAGAATGCTAAATTAAAAAGCTTCGAAATAATTTGTATTAATCAAAATAGCTATTATAGCTGACTTCAGTATTTTTTCTATTTATAAAGAAATTTCTTAATCTTTTTTAAAATTTCTAATTTTATTTATATAAACTTTATAGAAAAAATTTTTTATACAAATTAATAGAAGGGTGCCGTAAGAAAGAGAATCTTTTTCTAATCTGTGTAGAATATCGCGCGCTCTGCCGATGCGATTAAACGAATTAGTCATATATAAGTTATCATTTCTATTGTATTATTAGGATCAATTTCCGATGATCACGAAGCGAGATTGATCAGTCAGACGAGAGTGCAAAGATAAATAATTTAGATCATAATAGTGAAAGAGTTGAAGTTGAAACGAAAATGAATCTCATTTTAACAAATTTAAATTAACAATATAGTAAAATTATATCTATCATATTTGTTGAAGTATTATGCAAATTTTTTATGAAAATCCGGTGAACCGGTATGTTTATATATATATATAGAAAGTTACTTTATCATAATATATTGCTAATTGTTAATCACATAGCATCATGACTTATCTATTAATCATGATATATCTATTAATTAATATCAAGTTAATATGCTTAATTATTTTCCTGCCGGTATCTAATGAAGACGTTAAGAAATTGATTACAAACACCATCAACGCATCGACTAAACGCATTGTTGGAATATAATAAATTTTATTAGCTTTAACGCCTAGATGGGAGCATCGATACTTCTACCTCGTTTCATTCTTTTCAACGCTAACTCATAAGCATTAGAATTAGAATAATAATAAAAATATTATCTAAATTGTATATAATAGCTATAATAATTAATTCCTTTGTAACTAATCTTTTTGCTTTGTTTCATAGAAACTTTTTATTGAAATTACAGTAAAAATATTCAAAACTATTCAAAAATATTCAAAATTTTACTCGTGTAACGTTCATTACTTATATGTATATAATGTATACTGCTTATTATGTATTTCATTAATTTAACTATTATATATTCTGTTTTACTATGTAATAAAATTATAAAATCAAATTTTACAAATGTTTTTTAAATGCTCTTTGCATATTTTAATCCTTTCATTTATCAGTCAATTATTCAAGTTATTTGCAACTTGTACCAGAAATTCTATTTTTAAAAATAATTATTTTTAATATTTTTAATATTAATTGCACCTGTTGATATTTAATGTGACCATATGATTTACTACATTTGCGCTATTCATATCTTCATTTGTTAATCATAATTGACGATAAATCGATTTATAATTAGACATGTTTAAGTACTGTCAAATAACAGGACAGAAATTGGAGAAAGGCAAAAGGGTTTAACTAGATGTTAATGAGTAATTCCACCCAGCCTATCCAATGCAGTCCGATGATACCGATGTCGAAGAACAGAGGATTCCGCAGCTCATTCCAGGCCCTCCGCAGCTACCGCCATTAATCAGAGGCCAAAAGCTAAAGAGTGTGAGTAATGTTTTAATCGTTGAATTGAGCGATTCACTAGATTTATTTAATAATATAAACGATGTGACAATATATACGCACACACACTCACTCACTCACTCACTCACTCACACACACACACACACACACACACACACACACACACACACACACACTATTTATATATATATATATATATATATATATATATATATATTA